CACTTGATAGATGTGTTACAGTGTTGTGCAAAATATGGCTCATACATAGTTTGATTTGAAGTTTTAATTTAGAGAAGTTTCCCGAATACTAAGTTCTATCTACATTTCATATACCGCAGCGGTGTTATTTTTGGTCTCTTGTAAATTTATATATTTGATTTTTGCATTACAAGAATTCCCAGATATAGTGTTCACGTATTGCAATTTTTACGGTAAGGTATAATTTGTTTATAGCTCAATTCACAGTTCTTGATCAAGTTAGCCTATACTAAAACAAGTAAAAACTTCGGCAGCTATAATACCTTTTAGAGATGCATTTCTTATGGCATAAAAGGGTATAAAAAGATCTTTATCTTGATTTTGATCAATCACTTTGTATGGCAGCTATGTGTTATATTAGTCCGATCTGAATTAGGAGATTGTGGTTAAACAACAAACTGTGGTAACTTTCGTGAAGTTATCTTGTCAAATAAAAAATTTTTCCATACAAGATTGATAGATTTTGATTGATCAGTTTGTATGCCAGCTTAAGTGCTTAAGTGGTTCGATATCAGTGATTGTGACAAATGAGCAGCTTTGTGGGAAGAAAGGGACGTGTAAAAAATTTTAGGTCGATATCTCGATAACTGAGGCTAAACAGACGGATATGACTAAATTGACTCAGCTCGTCATGCTGATCATTTATACTTTATAGCATATCCGAAGTTTCTGGGCAAAATTAAAATACACTGTTTAGGGTATAAAAAGTCTCCCAATAGCTTACTTTTGGAATGACATTCTAACTACAAATCATGCTTAATTTAATTGAGGAAATACATCTAAACTATTCTTAATAGTTTTTTCTGTTTTATCAAAATGAGATTCTTATTCAAGCTTATTTTTGGAATTTATTTACGTTATGACCCTATCCTACTAACTGACCTTTGAACCAAACTATACATACCAAAGATTTATATGTAATTCTGGAGACATATGTACATATGTTTTAATCAAAGATTCCGCTTACCACTTCATATAAACAAAAAAGATTGTGATATCTCTATTTTTTTCTTGTTACAGTATACTCAGGATAACATGAACACTCACTCGAGTGAAGAGTTTAATTTAAGCTATTAACTGCTGGATAGCATGAACATCATAAATATTATTATAAAAAGCATGAACTCTGCAAATACTGAGGGTTACAAATCTGTCACAGAACAGTTTTTTATTTTTCTTTCTCTAAAGCTGACGAGGAAGGCGATTTATAAATAAGTGTTGAAGTTATTACTATGAACTACAATAGCTAGCGACTATTTTAAGATTCTTCTCATACAAAGACCTTGAGTTTGTAGTGCTTAAAACGGTATAACAAACATCAGATTTTATAGTAAGGGTTTTCTCGAAGAAAAAACGGCCTATTTTCAATATTTATTTTTTTTTTATATAAAAAATTAATATTTTATTCAAACCATATTTTGATATTCCAAAGATACATTACAATGATTTAGTGAAATTTTCTAAGAAAAGTATTCAAAACTTGGCCAGTAGACGTCATTTCCGGCAGGCCTTCGGAAAGTAAAACAAAATCATAAATCGTAAAAAAAAATACGTGCTTTTATTAAGACCATAATTATTGGACAAAGAAAAAAAGTGAAAATTGGTAGTTTTGGCAAACGTTTTTATAAAAAAAATAACCAAATTTTTTTGAATTTTTCTCGATGCTTTTGTTTTTTTTAATTTGAAAATAAAAATCCTTCATTCAAGACCTTGTAAATTATATCTCGAAGACCTTTGTAAAATTTCATTAAGAGCGGTTGAATAGTTCGCGAGAAATCTTGACAAACGACTATGAAAACACAGTTTCATGAAAAACGCCTTTAAAGTTTTAAGTGACTATATAGCTGACCTCGAGCGCGCAACTTTTTAAGGCTGCATCTCCAAAACTATTACTCGGACCAATTTGAGCATTTAAGACAATATTCTAGAGATGTTATAGAATTAAATAATATTATTAAAAAAAAATTTTTTTTTGAAGCTGTCAAACCCATATATCCTTTTAAAGATTGTAATGAATAAAATTTATTTTAAAAAAATTTGATAAAAGGCAATCTTCCTATAAAGCATAATGTAATCTGGATAATATGAACGATTGGGATATTGTAAACAGCTTGTGCATAAATTACGTTCACGTTACGCAGAGTGCACTGTACATTAAAGTCTACTGATACACAGCTGTGCATACTTTTAAAAATAGTAAGCACTTGTCACTGATAAGTGCCAGTTTAATTTTGCTATAAACATACTTCTAAGGTTCGCACAAAATTCTGAATTTCTGTGTGGTTGAAATTAATGCGAATTAATTCGAAACCAAATATGCGTTCATAGCACACAAATTTCTAATGAACGATCAGAGCGATAGAAAAGCAACAACGATTTTGTTTTTTATATAACTATATAAATGTGTATATTTTTTCTCTCGTTACTGTAATGGAAACTACTGCTTCTTAAGCAAGTGTCTTCAGCTTTGTTAGCATGCTTATACATATGTAAGTAAATACATTGTATATATATGCACTTCATTGAAAATATATACTCTTATGTATCTACGTACAAACATATGCAGTTTGAGGTTGGGGAAATGGTAGTAAACGGAAACTGATATACGATCGGTAGAATAGATTTATTTCAAATCAAAATAAAGTTGTGCAATTGTTTATATACATATGAAAAATAATTTTCCATTGTTATTTCCAGCTGTTATGCGGGTTTAAACAGAATATGCTGTATAAAATGTGGTTCTCGGATTGACACCGCTAAAATTTAAAACAGAAGTGATCAAAATAAGAGATGAGTCAAGCGGATTAACGACTGAATTTATGAATCACACGATTTAAGTTTCGAATTAAGCATATGTACAAGCGTTTGACTGCCAGTTTGAAATGGTCACAAACAAAAAAAATTAAAAATCATAAACAAACATAATATCTATTTAATTAGATATCAACTGCGAATATTCTGCTAGTATTTTTTTTTTTATGATACAAAGTTATCATTATATATATAAACAACTGCAGCAGCGAGCCTTGCTGCTCTACAACTTGCTGTTTGAATGCATAATTTGTGCATCAGATTGTTGATACATTTTGTATGTTCCAACAGCAGAGATAGTACAAGTTGTACAAGTTCCATACGAAAATAGCCGCTACCAGTAAGGATGACTGGCTGGAGGCGGTTAGTAGTCAGCCATGAAAGAGGCAAAAGGAAAGTGAAAAAGTGAATCAACATTTTAACTGCACAGCCACCACGACCGCAACCACGAAGACACACAACGAAATAGCCGAATGAAGCAAATGAAGACAAACCAGAAATGAAAGTGCGAAGCGCAAGAGTGATAAAAGTATAAGAAGAGAAAATTCGTTGCTTTTGCTTTAGATGTCGGAAAAATGCTGCTGCGCTGTGGTGCTACTATTTACCGATTACAAAGCCACTGGAGGAAAAAGCAGAATGGATTGGAATGCAAAAATTCTTTTCGACATTTTCGTTGTATCTTTCGAGGGCGAAAACCCGACATATTTGCTGGCAGGCATATGTGGTTGGATCACTTAGGCAATCAGAGCAAATGTCATTAATGTATTGCTACATAGCTGCACTCACTTTATTTCATTTTTCACTAGCGACATTGACACTGATGGTACATTAACATCAGCTGCATTTTTAAAAGCATTGAAAGAGTATATTATGTAAATGCATATAAAGAATATCCATATTATAAAAAAATATATCCAACATTAATTAATTGAGACTTCTTGTATACATTTGAAGCGTAATAATTCCGTTGTTGACCTTAACGCAGATGCAAATATGGCAGATGATGTAAATTATATTCCTTTTAACCTATCATTTGCATTATATTTCACTTCATACTTAATTGGTAAAAACCAATAAGTCAAGTTCCGCGATTTTGCAACATTTTGAACTGGGTTTGCAATTCTATTTAGCTTTCACATACTTATTGGCAAACACTTATTTCACATAATTTTTGGAAACACAAGCCGCGTGTAATTTTAAATATTCTTTCTGTTGCTACTTAGGTAGAAACATACAATTAACACTCTATAATTTATTTGACCATAACGCGTTGGGATGTTGACGATTTGCGAAATATGCGAATATGTGCACCATGCGTTAGGTACAAAATTTAGTTTTTGCACAAATTTCGCTTATTTCCTTATATTTTCACATTTTCTTTTTTTGAAATGTCGAGAGCCGAATTGAACTGTGAAATAAGCAAATAACAGAAACAGAAAACGGCAGCGTTGCCGCAGCACCAGCTATCCAAACTATTCTCGGATCATTCGGTTCATAACCAAAGTCAGCAGGCGACTACACACAATCACATCGATTTGTTGCATTAATTTACTAAACATTTTACTTATTTGAAAACACGACATACACATAAAAAACACTGCGAGATGATAATTAATGCAACGGTTAACACTTTTCAGCTATTAACACCTTTCTACACAATTATATTCAAGTGCAATTTAGTGAAACTTTTCGCGAAAATTTCATTTTTGCTAATAGAATCGACGACGTAGTGTGGAAATGACACACGGCAAAAAATTTGACATTTGTAGCAGCGCTGCGTAATCAAAACGATGAGAGTAATCGTTGTCGCTGCCGCCGACGAACGGAGAACCAACGAATAGTGAAACACACAAACGGAAGATAAAGTAGTAGCGCATAAAGAACGTAGTATGTAATAACAACAACAACAACGTCGCAGCAAGCGGAGGCAATAGAATGACGGAAAACGCGAGAGATATACGAAGAGCGCGTTAACATAGCGCCGCTGCAGCAGAGGCTATGCGCGCACACACGCACACAAACATACACAAAAAATATATACTTTTGCTAGCCAAACGCAGCTTAACGTTTAATATTTGCTATTATACACAAATTTCAAGCATAGCTTTATTGTAGCGCATAAGCTTATATATCACAGCAATCAGACATACTTTATTTTGCACAATTTATATTGTTTAAACGCTGCGTAAATTCACATTTCACTTCCACAAACCCTTTTTCACAACGAACTGAACTGACGACTGCGAACGAACGAACTAATGTACGAATGTCAAAAACTTGACAGATACAAAAATGTCAAGATATGCACAAGGCAGAGAACACGAAAGTGAAAAGGAAAATAAAAGAATGCGGTATTTGGGAAACAAGATGAGAAGATTTCAGCATAACAGAGGAATTTCAGATAGTTTTCAGCCGTTAGGTGGCGCATGCACACCAGCAGATGTCGCCGCACTAATATTAATCAGTGGAATTATATAAGGTTGTAAACTTTGCTGAGACGGTATTTACTGTCTTTTTTTTTGAAAATATAAACAACCGCTTTCCTTTTGTAAGCGGCAAAAGTAGGTTTAAGTCAGATAATTTTGCATAAGGCGTTTGAAGTGTTATACCCACTTGCGAATTCCATGCAAACGATTTTTTTTTTTTGGCTTACATATATTGAAAAGATGTATATCGAAAATTTGTAGATATCAACATATTATCCGAAAATTGGGGGATGAGCCGGCAAATAGTTTTAAAGATACATACTTGTAGAAAAAAAATCAAATTAATGTAGTATAATTATATATATATATAATATAGTATAAAAATATAATTAATATAATATAATAATGGCAGCTATATGCTATCGGTGGCTAACGCTGTATTTCAAATCAGCGATTTATATACATCCAAGTATGTATGTATTATACACTGTGCAACAAGGTAATGACATAGAAAAACATTTCTGCAAAATTCATGTAAATCACCAGGTTTAACAAAATTATGAAAATTATTGAACTTTAACTTTTCTTAGCGCCACACTCTCATGTTAGCTGATGATAGTATATGAGATTAGTATCTGCGAATTAATGACACATGTAGCACTATAGTTTATTTAGAATCTTGCGTAAACAATGCTTTATCCTTATCTGCTGCTGGTGATGGTTTTATCTGAAAGCTCGTAGACAGATTTCTCGTTGATAAGACCTACTATGTACTCTGTAGCACAAGCGAATCTTCTAATACCGTTATCTGCATTCTCTAACGTTACATACAAATTTGATGAAGAAACAAAATTTATTTATATATTAATTTATTAAAAAATTTTTTTTTCTAATTTAATGAAACGAACATTTAGCAATAAATCTTGTAGACTCTTTTATTCTCTAAATTGCAACCATATTCGTATTTATCAGTAGATGGCTATAAATAGCAGAAGTGCATCTCGCGTAAGGGATATGTAAGTTTAAATACAAAATATTTACAATATTTGCATGCAACAAATTGCATTTAGTTAGCAGATTAGGGATCCTGAGATGTTTCAAATACTAAAAGAGCGAATTTACAATCGGCGTTTGCTCAACAAATGACATACAAACATATATACATATATGCATATATTAGGGTGAGTAAAAAAAAATATGAATTTTTCTATCTGATAATAAGAAAATATATAAAACCGTTAAGCGGAAGACCTTCCTGTTACAATTAAGAGCTTATATTTGGAGAGACTTTCTTAGAAGTGTCTATCAACCAATTTTTCACAGTACGGAGCGAACGAAAAAACATTTGTTTATTTGGCCCACCCTACTATATATAATATATACATGTATATATAATATATGGTATATATACGATATACTACATCATCCGCGTTATTCTGTCATCTGTAACACTATCGTTACCAAATTGTTGTTGTTGGCGTTTTGCTTGACTGAGGTGTTTGTGCTTTGTCACAAATATTTGCGGTAATGATAAAAAATAAAGTTTCCCAACAACTGACAACGCCAACATTGATGTCAGCAACATTAATTTACGATCTGTATACAGTACTATGCTACATAAATATTTTTATATATCTTTTAATATAGATATACATATGTACATTAGGGTGGAGCGAAAAAACAATTTTTTTTGCTTAGCCTAGGGGTAAATGCGGCGCACTCAGTTTTAAAGTAAATTTTGAGTTAAAATGTTTTTTGGAAAAAAATGATAATTTTTAGTTTAAACTCTTCACGTTGATATAAAATATACCGAGTTTGACGGTTTTTAACTCAATATTTATTTTAACGCTTAAGGAAAGCATGTGGTCATTAAAGACTTTTTTTAAAATTCCAATAATGATCACCAAAAATTGTTTCAAGTTGATAAATTTTAATTGGCCAGAAAGAGGACTCTCCACAGCTTCTAGAACATATATCAAAAACTTTTTACGAAATAAAAATTTTAACTCGAAAATTTAATTTAAAACTGAGTGCCTCTAGGTGTTAAAAAAAAATTTTTTTTGGCCAAAACTTTTTTTTTTAAATCTTCAGAATTTACGCCCAGGCGAAGCCAATAAAATTTTTTTTTTCGCTCCACCCTAATGTACATATATATTTAAAATAATAGTTACATATGTTATCCTCTTTTAATTTCTTTTGTTTTTGAAATTGTTTTTGATAAATAATTGCGGTTACAAACCCCTTGCAGGGAAACACCATGACTACACATGGACCATATGTAAATCCTTGGTAAATCAGTGTAGTCCATGGCTATTACTATTATTACTGGACACTCCTCAAGCTATTTTATCATCAGACTCGTTTGGGTTCCTTGTCATAGCGGTTGTGAGGCTGAAATATCTCGGCAGTCTTACTGACATTAGCCGTCTCAACAAATTTGTGATAGTTAAGGGTCTTATGATCCCTTATATAGGAGTTTTTGGTACCAAACTGGACCGGCGTTCTAAGCTGTTCAAGTGAGATCCCTGTTAGGATCAAACTCTTAACCTAACGCGGTTTCATATGACCTTCATATATATCATATATTTTTTAGGTAGTGATCGAAGTAACAAGACGTTTGCTAACACTTTGACACAGCTAATCTAAAGCGTAATTTTTTTTGAAGCCGCCATATTTTAGATAATTATCTGCATTCATCTATGGTCATAATATTTCTTTTTAGGTTTTTGATTTTGGGACAGTTTTACGCAGAAAAAGCTTCTTCAGCGTCGGAAATCTTGTTTCGGATATCCTCCTGGCGAGCGGCTACGCGTTCAAGGGGATCCAAAATTAAAAAAAAATTAATCACTGATTATTAAAGTACATTAATTTTTGTAGCTCTAACACAACAAAAAGCACAAAAATAACGCGTTTTTTCTGCTTTGCAAGTTTACATAACCTTTAATGCGAAAAGTGTAAATGTAAACGTTATAGAGGAGTACATATACGAATCGGCACATGGTCGAAATCTGATAAGAGTCTACCACGTATATTAGAATGTATCTACATACATACATTACATATGTGTGAGGTAAGTAACGGCATAATCTGCTTGTATATATCGCTGCAGTGGGAATGCCAAAGTGTAACACAATATCAATAGATAGCCAATAGCCAGAAACTGTCGCCAAATTAATAATTTTTAATTAAACTTTATGTATGTATGTGCGCGTGCATAGCAATGTGCATCAATTATATTACATCAATCATTTATTTGCCTAAGCCATCACTCGCCTACAGTGATTTTATGTACATTTAATCATATTTTGACATTACCAGCAATTTGGTCGTTCACACTTTTTATTAGTCGCGAAACGCACATGGTCCGTTGGAAGTTAGACAAAATTTGCACGCGAGTATAATCGAAATAGTCATTTTATAGTTTTTTGCCTAACGAAATGCATGAACGTTTTAAATTGCGAAAAAGTGTTGGAATTGTGCAAACACAAATTTTTAAGGAACTTTTGACTAAAGCAAGCGTATTTTTGTTGAATCTTGCGACGAATTACTCATTTGATGGCGGCTGATGGTAGCTGATGGTGTATTGATTGTTTAATAGAGACTGTACTTGCCACAAAGTGTAGTGTTTAATAAATTTAATTGAAAAATTTAAAAAACGTTAGTTTCGTTTGCACCGAAACTATAATACCCTACACAGGTGCATTTCCTATACCATAAAAGAATATAAAGAGATTTTAACTTGATTTTAATCAGTCAGTTTGTATGGCAGCTATATGCTATAGTGGTCCGATCTGAACTATTTTTTCGGAGATTATACCGTTGCCTTAAAAAATAATCCATACCAAATTTGATGAAGTTATCTTATCAAATAAAAAAGTTTACCATAGAGTAGCTTATTGAAGATAAAAGGAGGTATTAAAAATGTTAGATCGATATCTCCAAAACTATGGGACTAGTTTGCGTATATACAATGAATTAGGTAATGTATACGAGTATACATATGTACCTCTATACGATTTTAGTTAGATTTAACACCAATTTAAATTATAATAATATTAATGAAAACAGTTGACATTTTGTAAAAATAGGCAATATTACTGCGGGAAAGTATGAGCAACCTAAAAGTTTCGAAAATTTTGAAATATTTGCAAGTAAATCGTTCAACTTTTTCGTATAGCTCGGTCAATGTGTTTTACAACAAATATATGTTATTCTAAATAATAAACACATTAGTTGACAGCTGCCTAAATATATATACATTTTTAAGAGTATATGTAAAAAGTCGGTTATTTTCGATCTTCGTAAGCTTTACATATCAAACGACAGTTTACAGTAAAATAGCCGCTCAATACAGGTCTTGAAGCATGCTGCTCGATATTTTTATACGCAAGTCAATAAAAACCTAACTGCCATGATGCAGCGACTCTGTTAAGGCTTGGGCGTTGCGATAACACAAAATGAACCAGTTTTTTCCGGGTTCATTGGTTGCTATTAAACAATATCGAAAGCGGTTTGTTGGAATGAATAACTAAACAGCGGCAATGCATGTTAATGTCAAAACAAAATCGGCGCAACTTATATGAACCGCACCATATATGAAAAATTATTAAATGAGTTGCAAAAATGGATTTGACTCAATAACCTTTGGGTCAATAATAACCGAAATTGGTTTTTGACATTGTTAAAAACCATTTTCAGAGAGTAAAAAAAAATTTTTCGAGAACAAAACTTATCAATCAACTTATCAAAACACTTGTGAATTAAAAAAACTCGTTTATATATATATATATATCGCATGTAAATATATTTGAGAATATTTTCCGAAAATCTTAAGTTGATCTGGCAAAGGTAGTTTCGAACGATGGCAATAAAGTAAAAAATAAGTAGTTTCTCGAACACAAAATCAAACAATTTGTTTTATGGGGTTATAGCTACTTGTAAACTCCAAAAAAAAAAGTTTTTTTTTTAATACGAGAAATGTAAATATATTTGTGTATATTCCTCGAAAATTTGAAGTTGATGCGGCAAACAGTTTCGGAGATATGATCGACAGAAGAAGATATGATTTGTAAAAATTTTTAAACCTACCTGTAGTATAATCGGCTCCCAAAACTTTATATGTTTTTTTTGATAATCTGTAACCATTTTTTTATAGACTATAATGCTTTTGAATAGAAAACAATTATTGCTTACTTGTACGAATTTTTTAACCTAGTGTAATCGGACCCCAAAACATTAAACCCGTTTTTCTGGAAACACTGTTATCAGAGCCGGTGAGGAAAATTTCGCGGAAACGGCTGGACTGATCGGCTTGAAATTTTCACATAACCTTCTTAATAACATTTGTCAGTTAATAACTGCAGCAATAAGGTTTTTCATAATAAATTCGATTTGTAGCCACATTGGCGTTTAATCTCTTACACAAAAATCTACTTTTAATAGGAAGCCGCCATTTGGTCAAAAATACAAATTTTCACTAGTCCTTCGAACATTAACTTTATTCAACTATTGTTATAATAAGATATTTTAGTTTTTGTATTTAAATCAATTTAAAGCAGAAAAGTCTTGCCCACCGCCAGACAACTTTTTTCGGAGTTCCGCCTGCAGATCGGCTATGGGACTTAGAGCATCCAAAGTTTTTCAAAATTAATTGCTGATTTTCAAAAAAAATGTCAATTCGAATTTCACAAAAAAATAACAATTTTCTGTCTTACAAGTGGATGTAACTCCACAAATCACGCTTATGCTTTAAATCAACCGCTAAAATTGAAATATTGCGCTTAAAAAGCAAATATCAGGAAGATATAGAGGTGGAAAATAGCAAAATTCACTGCCTTCAGCTTTTTTCAAGCAAACATTTTTGCTCACCCGCCATTCCACTGTGCATTCGCTGCTGCATTCAATTGTTGTTTTATTACTGCAAACATGTCTTATCATAATCATAACTAGCGTATGTTTTGTGCGCGATTTTATCAGCGTTTCCATTATCGTTTATCTTTATCTCCTTGCCATGCCACTAGGTAAGTAAAAATCACCCACTAAGTGGCTTATCACAAAATCTCATACGAAAAATCAGATTTTGACAAAAAAGCAAAGTGATGATCAGCAGTACTAGCTAGTTACTCGTACTAGCTATCCTAGGCTACATGTATGTAAGAACTCAAGCACAGTTAATTGTGGAAACGAGAATACTAAATAGTAACGAGCAAACGATTGTGTAGGCGATAGTTTAAACGTCGCTGGCAGAAAAGCCCGTAAGGAAATATGATGATCAGCTCGTTGACAGTGAGCAAGTCGAGCAATGTGATGAAAAGTATAAGATCTGTTTATAAAACTTTAGTCTGAGTGATAAAACGAATTTAGTCTTTGTTCGGACATACACAGCGAGTGTGGCAGGCGGCTGAGTACAGCAGACAACGTTATAAAGTGGCATTGCAAGGCAGCGTTTAAATTAAGTAGAAAAAAAGAATTACTTAAAGAACTGTGTAAAGTAATAAATAATTGTGTAACAAATAATAAAGAAAACAAATGCAGTAAGACTTCAGCATTTTATAGCATAAAATATTAAATGGAAATCATTTTGCGCAGCTTAAGTGAAAAATGTGAAACGAGCGCTGTAAATAACTGTTAATAAGCTTGAGAGAAAAATTTAAAATTGTGCAACATTTCTAGTACTAAATAACTGTATATATAAAGTATATACTATACTACAAAAGCAGAAGAAATTTGAAAAAGGACTTTTTTTTAGCTGAAAAGTGAATAAAATATATTAACAAGCCGTGTTTAAATTAGAGAAAAAGACAATTTACGAATTAAAAATCAATTAATCATAACTACTCGCTGTGCAGCAGCTCATTTTTTCAATGCCAACAACGTTGTCCGCGACCATTTGCTGAACATTTATTGGATTAAAAGCCCACGTAAATTGAAAGCGCAGCTTACAGCTTAAAAGCACAGGAGCGCACACAAACCCATTACTATAAAAGTACACACGCACACACTAACACCGTTGCACGACATTTTTTTCACAATAGAAACGAACGAAAATCTAGTGAAAGAAACGTGTGAGCAAAGCAAAACGCAATAGCGCAACAGTGTGACGGCAGAAAGTGGCCGCTTAGACGCGAACTTTACTTTTTCGTTGAGTGATTTTATTTATTATTTATTTTTTTTTGTTAGTCTGTTTTGTGAATGGAATTGAAATAAATCGCTGATTATCTTCTTAAATTGAATTTAATCAAGACGAACGGACGTTTAATTTCAAGTGTTTCATCGCGCGCGCGCCGCAGCACATACATCATACTTGTACTGAAATACACACACACACATATGCACACATAAGCACACATATACATGGAGCTTTAGAAGCGCAAATCATCATATTAGCCATTGTGTGCAGTCGTTGCGCACACACATACAGCGAACCAATACAATTGCGTTGCAGCAGCAACAATTTTGATGATCACTTGTGCACAAAACACTAGTCAGACGGTAGCTTGGGCGGCCTAACGTATGTTTCTTAGCTAACTTCATACAAAAACTGCGACTGTGTATGTGTGTGGCGCTCGCTGAAATCACAGTGCTGAACTCGGCGTCATAGACGCAAAAGCGCGTGCTTATCTCGATCCGACTACGAAACCAAACTCCGTTTTGTGCATATATTTCATAGAAACTATATAAAACACACACACTCACAAAGTTCTACGGTGGCAACTAAAACACACATACGTTACTACATATAACTCCACTCCAAACGCGCCCACCATTCAAACAGCTTGTTATACCACGAGCATCCAACAACCCACAGCCAGTGCCAGCACTAGCGCCAGGCTGCAGCACTGCGCATTTGCGTTTGTTATATTTATGGTGTTTACATTTTGGTGGCGGCACAAACATTCAGCGCCATAATTTACTGCAACGCTAAGTGTAGTCGAAGTGAAGTGAAGAAGCTGCGCGCGCCGCATAGCCCAGCGCATCGAAGCGTCAACAAGCAAAGGTGCAGCGTTGGGGCATCACTAAGGTCTAACCATTTCACCGAAATAGTTAAACTTACAATTGTGTTATTGCCAACGGCAGCGTGTACGCGTAGCACTCGAAATGGCAATAATTGGTGGTGAGGAGACTGCTACCGAGACCATTGACATGTTGCATGTGGAGAAGGTGAAACCGTCGAAATTTGGCGAATTCTGTCGGCGCAATGGCATAAATCCGAATTTGATAATGTTGAAGATAACGCTGTTCGTCATGTATGGCGGTGAGTATAATTATGATTGCTACTCGTTTTTTAATTGCAAATATTTGCGTTTAGATATGTTTTTAATAACCATGCAAATTTAGAACGAATTGCTGCTTTGTTTTCTGCATATTTGAAAATTTATTTCAAGTAGTCCACAGCTACAATATGAAATAGTTTTTAAAGTAGCATAACGGTATTGAAATAGGTAGTTAGGCGTTCTCAGCAATACAAGGTATTTAATTGCTCTGGGCATCACAACGGTCCAACGTTTCTAGCTTTCAAGTGGGCTTACTCGTGGCTCTATGAATATCAGCCTGTCTAACTAACTTAATTTAATCGAACCTAATATATCGGTCATATTCGAAACGTTTCCTAGTACTTAGTTTTCTGCAAGCCTTCACTATTATTCTCTGGGTGATTGTTCTAGGGCTCTTTTAAAGGGTTTCTTAAAAAAAAATCCAGCGATTTCGACTTATGATACTATAAGGGTGTGTTTTTTAGACATGTGGTTTTAAGGCAGATATAAAACGCATAAAATTGTATGCTACAAGTATGGCCTCGAATTTAGCATTATTATAAACATAAGGGTTTGCCATTATATTTTAGAAATGATTTCGGTCAAGTGACCGCCGAAATTTGAAATTATGCGGTCAAGTAGTTTTGAAATGACAGTGAACACGGACTTTGAAAAAGTAGTTGTGAGAGAAACGCGTCTAAAGTTTATGAACTATTGGTTGGAGCGTTAAAGGCCAAGAGATTAATAAGACAATAACTTTAAGAACATTGCTTCAATCGACCTAAAATTTTAAGGACATATTCTTGAAATGTTAAACAATAAGATAAGAGAAAAAAAATTGATTTTTCGAAAGTAAAATGCGCTCACAAAAAAATTTCTTTAATTAATTTATTATTTCGTCGTCTACATGAACATCCTTCAGGTCAGGCGCAAAAAAATGTTTAATCATGGCTCTATAGCGTTCCGAATTGACTGTAACAATATAGCCGACATCATTTTTGAAGAAATATGGCCCAATGATTCGCTCTTTCCATAGAGTACACAAAACAACTGCCTGACTTTCTGCGCATGTAACGCCGTCTCAACAATGGCTTGAAGATTATAATGACTTCAACCTCAAAGTTTTTTTTTGGATAAGCACAAGTCCACCTTTTAGTTATATTCTGCATCTTATTATACGCTGACCAGGGTATATTAGGTTTGCCACGATATTTGTTACACCCAAAAGGGAACGTCGGAGACCGTATAAAGTATATATAAACGATCAGCGTGACGCGCTAAGTCGATTTAGACATGTTCATCGGTCTCTTCGTCTGTCTGTATATACGCCAACTAGTCCCTAAAATTTTGAGATATCGATCTGAAATTTCGCACACGTCCTTTTCGCTCCAAGAAGCTGTCGGAAACGCCGATGTCGGACCACTATAGCATAAAGCTGCCATACAAACTGAACGATCGAAATCAAGTTCTTGTATGAAAACTTCTTTATTTGTGAAGGGTATTCTAGCTGCGGTGCGGTTAACGTGTTTTCTTTGAATAACGCCATGTTTTCTTCATCTAATGCCACACAATTAAAAAAAAGAAGAAAATTCTACGCTTAATCAGCTGACTCACTGAAATCAGTTAATGCCAGTTAAGCGATGCGCTTAATTGTGATTAAAGTTAATTTGTTAATTAATATTTATTAAATTGTGACATTGACACTAACAACAATTACTAGATTCGCTAGGCTCGGATGTGAAGCTAGATATCAGATACGAATATTTGCATAAGCTAATTTGTATAACACATAGCTTAATACGAATACATATTCTAATAAGTGGCGTTTGCACTAAGCAAATCTGGTCGCATAACCCTCATACAAAAAGTGAAAAAAAACAAAAAAAATGCACATTTCTTTAATATAATAAAGTGGATTAGGCTGCTGCTGAGACCGAAAGGAATACAAACTAATTTCACAGCAAAGCACAAACACACGCGTGAGTAATTTGTATGTGTGTGCTTTTGTTTTGTAAAATTAAGAAATCCAGAAAAGTGTAACGCAAAACCGAAAAGTAAAATAGAAACGAAAAAATTAAAAAAAAAATGAAGTAAAACAAACTAGTAAGAATTGCCATTGACCATCACAAGTGACTGACATTAGCTACATACATATGTATACTCATAAGGCTAGAGCACACATGTCACTCGTGTGTGTAAAAGTGACTATGTTTTTGTTGTTTTTGTACAACAACAGTAGCTTGGTCTCGATATAAGTCACTTAACTCTCCAATGGTGTCGCTTTAACACACACTTGCACTCAAATTTGCTTATGAAATTTTCTTAAACTAATTTCATACCCGGCAAAACAGCGAGATTTGCGACTTTATTTGCAGCGGTTCACAAACTTTTATTTTCTACATATAACCTCTTCTAGCTATGTCACAAATTGTGATTAATACTTAGTATGTAGAAATCAGCAAATTTTGCTATCAGCTAAGCATTTACATATTTAGTGCTGCAGATTGCCTTACTTACTGCCGGCCGTGATATATTTTTATGTCGCTTTGTTTTTATCGAAATTCTCGAAGTATTTATATTTGTTTTTTATTTTTTATTTTGTGGGTACTACATCGAGGTAAATCTGTTTGCATACGTAGGTTAGCTTTTACATTTTGGGATTTGGCAACCCTACTGTGCATTCTGGCAACTCACAACTTTATCGTAAAGTTTGATATTTTTGATTTTATACATACTTGTACTCAGAATGTTCTGACATATGCGCGCTATTTGTGTTGCTTACAGTAACTTAAAATGTTCATCTCTTCAAAAAAATGGAATTAAAGCGATTGTGATCAGCATACTAATGTTGCAGGAATATTTGATTGTAACAAAACTTGTTCACGTTGAATCCCACACAATTTTTCGATCGCTCAAATAAGGCTCGTGTCGATTGGTCGAGAGAAATGTTCAAAAAATAGGATAGTGGTGTTTCGAAACACGTCTAACACATCGTGACAGGTGATGAATCATGGAGTTAGACGTATGCAAAAAATAAACTAAAATGTCAACGTTTTTCGATACTTAAAGTGGCGGTTGATGCGTTCAGAGTGCTTATTTTTGAGATACCAGAAAGTGCTTCGACAATTGCTTCAAGCACATGCAAAAGTGTATTGATCTTAATGCAGAATATTTTGAAAAACAATAAAGCGCTTTTCGATGATTAATATTTGTTTTTGTTCTCTGATCCCGAAATATAAAATGCAACCCTCGTATAAGCATTGTGTCGTGTAACTAATTGATAATTTCCGAGGCTCAAAAGAAATATTGCGATAGTAAGAAAAATTAGTCACCGAGTAGCGAGTGAGAAATGACGAGTAAATGGTAAAGTCGACATCAAACAGCAGCTCAATCAGTGGCATCCCCAATATAAATACTTACATATGTCAAAGAGACATGTCTTGGCATTGAGTTAGGGAGGTGATATGAACTTTCTCAGTTGGTCTATTTTTACAATTGTACAAGTATGTGTGAAAGTACTTGCGGGTACAGCTTGGAATCTCACTTACAAATTCGATAAAAAGGAAAAAAGCTCTTCTACGTGAATTTTTATATGTATATATATTTAGAATTTGTTAAAGCAACTCTGTTGCATGTACATATATATTGCTATGTAATTGATATGCACATACATACAGCTGAAGAAAGGCACATGTAAATACCTATGTGTTAGCGCACAAGCGTTTCTATCTTGCTTTTCCAGAAGAAATGGCAGCCAAGTGAAAAAGTGACTACGGCTAATTGGCTGCTTTGTTTTTGCAACAGCTATGTAAATATATACATACACATATACATGTGTGTATGTGGGTAAGCTAATACACGCAGCCATATTGCACATATGCACACACACAAGCTTGTAAATTCTAGTTAATTTAATACAAGTGCTAGAGTCTAGATTAAACGATTTTTTCAATGTTAGATTTACGAACGATATATTATTTCAAGCAGCAATGCCACACACGACCATTTCGTAAGTTTTGTAGTAGGTAGCTGTATATATATATATATAATTACATATCAAGTTTTACTTCGTTTCGTCATCACCGTACGACATAGCGTATGAGTGCGCCACAAAGTTTTGTGAGTAGCTGTTTAATATGGAACTATAGAATAACAAACTTTATTTGTGTGTAGAACTTTAATTAAAAAATTAAATAAATAGCAATAATTTTAATAAAAAATTAATTTCCGCTGGACCGAAGCTTTAATACCTTACATAAAAGGGTATAAAAAGATCTTTATCTTGATTTTGATTGGTCAACTTGTATGGCAGCTATAAGCTATAGTGATCCGATCTGAAAAATTTCTTCGGAAATTATTTTAAGGTTTTTGATAATAATCCATGCCAAATTTCGTGCAGATATCTTGTGAAATAAAAAAGTTTTCCATACAAGAACTTGAGTTTGATCGTTCACTTTGTATGACAGCTATATCCTATAGTGATCCGATTTTAACAATTTCTTCGGATATTAACTTGAGCTTTTGGATATTAAATCATGCCAAATTTCGTGCAGATAGCTTGTCAAATAAAAAAGTTTTCCATACAAGAACTTGATTTTGATCGTTCAGTTTGTATGACAGCTATATCCTATAGTGCTCCGATATCGGCGATTTCTACTAATGTGCAGTTTCTTGACAAGAAAAGAGTGTGAGCAAAATCTTAGATTGATATGTGAAAAACGCGTATATACAGATAAGGGAACAGACAGTTGGACATATGTATGTAACTAAATCTACTCGGCTCGTCACGCTGATCAATTATATACTATATATTATAATAATAAATAGTAATATTTACAATTTTTGCTTATCTAAGCATTATGTACTCGCTAATTCATGGTGTAGGCGTTCACACGTATTTTTTTCGGGGTATTAGAAAGTAAATAAGATAGTGACAAGAGAGTAAGTACAAGTGTACCTAGTGTCACTAGATATCCGTGTGAAAGCAATCTTCAAATCTTAG